ATGCAATTGATTATATTTATATTATATATATATGTATATAAGGTAACAAGTTTTACAAACTGAAAAATAAATTACAATTGTATGACAAATTTTGTTCATTAAAATATATTTATTCATTCGGAAAAATAAATTAATTAATGTATCCAATAATTATTATTGAAATTTTTAACGATTGAATAATAATAAAGTACTACTACAGATTGGAAATTTCTCTTACAAATTAGTTACATAAGTTTACTTATAAAATCAGAAAAAAAAAGAAGAAAGCTCACATGTTTCTTAATGGTTACGATGAATAATAAAAACAAACTATTACATTTTACTATTACTGGTAAAGTTTGTAAAAGTTGTTTAATTAGTCATTTCACAATGTACTACTTAATGCTAAAACGAATAAAAAGAGACATTTTATGTTTCATATAATGTTTATTTTCTTTTATCTAGTACACAAGTTAAAAAGAGATGAAAGGGAGCTTTTTAAATGCTTTCTTTAGGTTATGCATACAAAGTGTATAACTATTTATATGCAATCGCCATGTGGAAATAATTGTAAAAGTATTATGTCAAGAAGAAAATTGAGGAAATAAGATTGTGGTACAAAGGGAAGAGAAAAAAAGGTAAAAGGAAGAAAGAAAGAAAGAAGAATAAAGGATGAGGCAAATTCATCTTTCAAGATTGAGCTACAGCTAACATTTCTTCTTGATGAATCAGATGAGTTGTATGATTGACAAGACTCATTAATTTTGATAAAGATGCAGCCCAGGCATCTAAAAGAGCAGCTGGCTCTTGGGTTCCTGTAAAACGAACTACTCCAGCTGGACGATCAGTACGGGCATTTATAACGCCAGTTTCTACTAAACTGCATAGACAGGCTTCCGTTTCTTCAACCGGTAAATCCAATAATTCAGCCATGCGAGTTAGTGTAATTTTTGTGTAATATTTTGCCATAATCCTGATATTCTATACAAATCAGAAGACAGAATAAATATTCAATGCAAGTTTTTTATACCAAAATGACCTTTTGAGGTTTTCAACTCACATGTTCAACAACGCGATTTCGAAGATCGGCCCATCGCTTACAACCTTCGCGAGTCCATAAGTTAAAAACTTCGGTTGTTTTAAGTTTTCTTTCATATATTTCACAAAGTCCAGACCACTTTATTAGTTCTGGATTGACAAAAAGGCGTAACAGTTCTCTAAAAGGAAAAGGTGAAAACAAGAAGAAAATAAATAAATAAAAACTGGCTGTTAATATACAAAATGGGGAAGTCTCTGTGCATTTTTATATATTTTTGTTGAAAATAAAGAAATAGTACTTATATGTTGGTATTTCATCTAGAAGTTTATCAGTAAGCAGCCTATGGGTCAAATCAGCTTGTTCTGGCTCATGTGGTGCAAGTACAAGGTACAGAACAGCTCGTGAAAGAGCGGCATGTCTTTTTTCAGGGTCATCTCTAACAGCTGGCGTTTCTAACACTGCTCGATTATGTCTACATAACTCTAAATGCCAGCCTTCATGACGGGCCAATTCCATCATTAAACTGTAATATAAGAAAAAAGAAAAGAAGGAGAGAGAACAAATTTTTCTTTTCCTGGGGCAATAGCAGCATCAAATTTGAATATTTACACGCTTTAATAAAATTTAATAACAGTTTGCTTACTCATAATATTTCAATTTAAGAGACTGTGTCTCTTCATCATTTTCATCACTAAAGAATTTAACATTAATTTTCTTGGCTATTATTTGAGTGCGCATAAAATCTTTTTTTGCTAAACATAATCTCATTTGTTCTAGAATAAGGGATGCTTTCTCTAAACGTGACATACTACCATATGTTTCAACCTGCAACAAGTATTATTAATATCATTGTTTAAATCTTAAATTAATAAGTATATCCATGAAAAGTTCATACTTGTAATTCCAACATAACTGTCGCAGCACCTGAAATATCTTCATCTTCTTCTTTGATTTTTGCTAAGCGATGTGTAAGCCTTGCTCTTTCAACTTCTACATATATCTTCAAAGCAATAGAACTACATTGATTTTTCAGAATGTTTAAAAATATAACTTAAAATAACTATTGACGTCAAATCCTTTACCTTTCCTTCTGTTACAGTGCGCAATGTTTCTATTAACTTAATTTTGGTTTCTTTATCAGGCATTTTATCTACATACGTACAACATTCCTGAACCATTTTTGTAACAGCTCCTTTCAACTGAGAACGTCTTTTGGACAATAATACTATATGTTCATTTAAAACTGCCCAGTTTCTTGCTTCTAAACAAATTTGAATAATAGCTACAAGAATTCTTGATGTAGATGCCACATCTGCACACTAAGAAATACCAAAAATTACTTTAATCATTTATATACTTTATATAAATGTATTTATACAGCTACATATAACACTATTTAAAAATTTAACTGTTCGAGCCAATTTTTCTAATGCCAGTAACTGATCCAGAGCATCATGTAGTTTTCCTTCACGTGCTAGTTTTTTACACTCTGGAATTTTAATATCGCAGTTGCTGCTATAATTCTCCTCCATTTTTACAATATTACGGCAATTCAGTTACCTCAACCTTTAACCGAAGAGTATCATCAATAAAATAGCTTAACCTAAAAAGCATAAACAGATTGAAAATGAAAAATATTAGTTAGTTACCTTAATTGAAGTATTTCCAAATTGTGAAATAAATTTTTGTTCCAATAAAAATAATACGGTTAATTTTCGCAAGTAATCACACTTTATTTTAAATTTTGTTCTTCCTCTTTTCCGTATTTTTTGTTTCTCTTCTTTCTCTCGTTTTTACTTTTTTCTTTTTTGCTTCTTTAAATATGACAGGGAAATAGAGAAATATTCTTTTGCATATAACTTTGTTAAATATAATTCAAGTATTTTACACACTGTACATAACACAAAACTGATTATCATCCACCATTCATAAAACAGCACGAATATAAGGTTAAACTTGGAGTAATATGAACGTACTATGATCATATGCTTTTATAGAAGGCAGTATTAACTTAGCTATAGTAGCTACTGGTAAATAGGGCGCTACATGTTTAATGAAAACGATACTGCATCTTATTAAATTCTATATATGGATTTTTCAACTTGATATATATACAATTTGGTATTTATATTCTACTACATCTGAGTTGAAAATAATTTTTTATTTATTTCTATATCGATTCCTAGATATGATGACTTATTGTAAAATGTGATCTATACCTTTTGTTCCACAATTTGAATCGCATTTGTCTCGAGATTCGTGTTTCCCTAGATTTGCTACAGTATAAATGCAAGTTCAATCAATTTTTAATATTAACATGTAATTTTTCATGTTGATAAAATTTTTATGTCGTATGATTTTTATTCTTTATCTTACAAACAGAAACGATATTGACGAGATAAGTAGATATTTTCGAAAATCATTGAGAGTTCTGAAATTTATGAGATACATGTTTTATGGACAAATTATTTACGGTTATCGATTTTATCAATATAATTAAATATACTGTTAATGCGTTAACGTTTAAATTTATTTGAAACTAATTTTATATTTTTTGTGTATGATGGCATTTCTATATTTTATTTAAAATTTATTTTCGATAGTTTCAATTTAGGATTCAGTAATTCTTTAAATTTATTTGACCTCCTTAACTATATTTACGTGATAAAGGAAAATATTTAAAAGTGACAACAAATTGAATTTGTTTCGTTTGTGTTTTTGTTTCTCGGTTAACGTTTGTTATCAAAACATACGTAATGTCTGAGAAAGAGGGAAATGAATATGTTGCAACTGAAATTATTGGCAAATCTGACGAAATGGGAGAAAATTTAACAAGTGAAGATGTGCCTGCCAGTCTTGAAACAATTCCGTCTGATACACCATTAGTTCGAAATGGTGTTCAAATTACTCCTAAGGATAAAGCAAAAAGTAAAAAACTTGCTATTTGCGGAGGAGATATAGTAATAAATTAAAAATTAATAAGGTGGGTAGAAGAGTGCAAGATAATTGTCTTATTGGAATTTAACTAATTTTTTAGTCGACATTTTGTTAAAAGCAACTGGAAATGCACCAATAATGAAACAAAAGAAATGGTCTGTCAGTCAAGATTATTGCATTGGTCGTATTTCTGATTTTATCAGAAGATATCTTAAATTAGATGCTAATGAAAAATTGGTAAGCATAAAGTAAGGGTTATATCTATTCGAGTAGTTTTCATATATGTAAATATACTTTTTCCTTTGCCAGTTTTTATATGTAAATCAAACATTCGCGCCTGCACCAGATCAAGTAGTGAAAAATTTATATGATTGCTATGGTGCAGATGGAAAATTAATCCTTCACTATTGTAAGAGCCAAGCTTGGGGTTAAGCTTTAATTAAGAATATATATAATAATTTCACAGAATATTGCACGAATGTATTATATACATTTTAGTATGTTTACTGTCTTCTAAACTTTGTTAGATATTACATGTACACATTATTCAATAAATATTTAACGAGTTTCCTACTATGACAAACTTTGCTACTACAAAAATGAATTTCATAGAATATCATAAATTAAAGTAAAGATATTGTAAATATAGCTAGTAATATAATCATTAAAAATAATCTCCTTTACTGTTTATTTTGACGTCTTTTTTTTTTTTTTTTTGTAAATACTTTAAATAAGAAAGAAGCAATATGTTTTAATAATGTAACACTTTGGAAGAAATTGTCTTCTTTTTATCTTCACTATTGCACACACATAGTAACATACAATTGTTTCACGCTACATAAACATAAAATGCGATGTTAAAGAAAAATACGAAATATAATATATGTATTACATGATATTTTACATAGAATTTTTACCACCATGTGTTTGTGTTAGTGTAAAATATTTTACTGACATTACTTATATTCTAAATAAAATTTTTTATGCAAAATCAATATCATTAAACTTTGCCGAAACTTTATTCAAACTGATAGGAATAAGTACAGGTCTAAGGATGAAGTACATGTCTGTGGATATATCTGAGCTGTTAAACTAATAAAGCATCATGCTCTACAATTTATGCAATATATGTTATTTACAACTTACTATCGTTAGTGGTCGATATTTTAGAAAAAGGATATTTCCAAATTATTATAGCACCATCTGTGCTTGACGTGATAATAAATTTATTATTTGGAGCAAAAGAGCAAGCAGTAATGGCAGCAGCATGTGCTGTACTTAAACAAATAGTAGTAGCGGTATGATAATCCCATAGTTTTACAATAGAATCTTCAGATCCAGTGAGAAAATATTGCCCATCATAACTGACACCTATCGTATTTAACGTTCCAGTAATTGAACCTTCAATTTCTCGAACTAATGATCCATCCAAGGTTTCCCAATAAGCTATCTTGCGATCTGTACCACATGTTAAAATTTGAATGCCGTTTGGAACGAAACATGTTGCCATATACATCGTGTTCCCTCTCAACATGAATTTTCTCGTGAAATTTCTAAGTAAAGGAAAAGTAATATTAACATTTCGTATAACAGTCAATGTTTTAAGTAGATCACCATTTTCAGCAGATAATTACTTTAAATCCCACAGTATGCATGTACCATCTGTACTAGAACTAATCAGACCCTTGTTATCGGGCGAAACGTGTAACGAAGTTATTGGACCTCTGTGTTCTTTTAGAACTTGCAGTAAATGTCGTATTTCAGATTTTGCATTCCATATCCGAATCTGGGCAAACATGTACAGTTCAACTAAATTTTAAATCAAAACTTTGCTCCAACAAAGAGGATGAATATACTAATTTGAGAAGAAAAGATAGGATAGGGAAAGCGATGAAGTAACATATGAAGTTTATGTACCTGTCCGTCACAACCACCGCTAATGAGCTTACTGTCATCATTGGTAATCGTAATTGTTGATACGGCTTTTGTATGAGCACAATTAATCTGGAATAATAGTTTTCCTCCATTCAAAGCGAATCCTCTTATCGCACCATCGTTCCAAGCTTTCTCCAATAAATTAAGAGTAAATGTTCTAAAGTGATGATAACTTATACAATAAACACACAGCACTGTGTATTGTAGACGTACCTGATATTATAGATCCACCGTTATAATCGAAACATAAACTAGAAGAAGCGAAGTTTGGTACAGTAATTCGAAGTAATTCCTTTTGGGTAATCAGTTTCCATATTCGTATATCATTTTCACTAGTCGTTGCGAATATTTCCGAACAGTTGCTACGAAGATAACACGAGTTGTAAACGTTCTTGCTTCTCGTACGTGCTTGTTATAAGGTGCAAATTGAAATCGTTTCGTAAATGTTGACAAAAATGAGATTTACCGTGGAAATGTCAAATCAAATATCGAATTAGTATGACAAGTAGCAATTAAACGTATATGAAAGCTCGACAATTCAATTTCGTAGATCTCACACTTAATAGTTCCTACTAATATAACGTCATTCTTATACCGTAACATCGATGTCATCGCAGCACATACATTCGCTGTTTGATACTATAAAAAAGATCAAAAGAAAAAATGATTTATTAAAATACTGTATTGCATTATACTCTTTTCGTTGCACTTTTTAAATATGCATATGTACATTGTTTACGTTTCGTTTCTTTTTTGATTATTAAGAAGGAAAAGAAGTGTTACCGAAATAAGATGAATCATTTACCCTTGTCATTGTAGAGACGAATAATTCGTGAAATATTTGAAATAAAGAAAATACGTAAAAAATGGTTCTTGAGCAGATTATAAACATTCCTAATATCTGTATATATGCGTATATGCATTACTGTAATAATAAGAAAATAGCGTTGAACCATTCAGCTTCCTTTCTTTCTTCTTTTTTTTTTTTTTTTCTTTTTCACGTTTCTTAAGTAAACGAATAAGAAACATTATTTGTTGGAATTTATCTGTGATTATTGTTATATACAATGCATACGAACATGATATAATATAGATACGAGATGAAAGAGATTTCATTACTTTGAATTTCGTTACTTTAAATCTTTTTTAAAAATCACAGATGTTTACCGTTATTATAGCGGGTACAATGAACGGCTTCTTCGTTTTATTTATAGTACATATCGATTCTTTCGTTATTTCAGTTAATTCAACTGTCCCATCGCCAGCACCTACAATTAATTTCCCTTTCTCCAAGAGCAACAAATTTTTTACACCACCTGCATATACTTGTCCATCGCATGCATTTGATTTCTTTGGATGCGTCGGTATCTTTGAATAACATCCAATCATAACCGGATATTTATTCGCTTCCTTAGATTTTGCTATGTTTAGTCTATATGAAAGAAGTAAAATCTCAATAACTTTGTGATGAAATTTTCTGAAAAAAGTTCAGCAATATCAAATAAACAACCTTGCTTGTATAATGTCGCCTGATGTTGTTCCGCAATAAATATTCTCGTCAGTTTCATCTATAACGAGACAATTGATTGCACGTTTAATCTTCCCGACCTTTACGTCCATGCCGTAAAGTTTACTATTTTTCGCATCGATATGCCATAATTTGAATGTTTTATCCCCGGCAATGACAAAACTTGTGTTATAAACATTAGCTCGTGTGATTGTTACGATATTTCCAAATATTTCGTTTCCAGCACCTGTAAAAATAGTGTAATGTCTAGAATACTGGTAAAAACCGAAACGTTTAAATCGAGTATCCACGAGATCAGATACATAAGTAATACACTATACCACAAAGTGGAGTTTCACTTTTAATATCCCATATTATAATGCGACCATCATCTTTTCCTCCAAGACTAATGAGATATTGTTCATCTTTCGTAAAGCATACATCTTCGATTCTGACTTTATGTATTTCATAACTAGATTTTATTTTACGTTCTCTATAATCCCATATTATAACCATTGCCTGTGGAGAAAGAAAAAAAAGAGGATTACTATCGTTCAAAAAATTAAAAAAATTAATTTAAATTAATGAACTTGGCCGTTATATACGTGAATCACCTTGAAACCGTGATGGTTTACTTGTCCAGAAGCTATCAAGTCACCAGAAGATGAAATGCATAAAGCGGAAACAAAATTTTTATGGCCACTAAGAAAAAATTGTTCACCCGTTATTATATGTTTGATAGTAATTTTATTTCCCATTGGATAGACAAAGAATTCTCCACCAGGATGCAATCGTAATCCATTTCTTATTAGACCTATAAATAAGCATGGTATTTAAAATAGAAAAATATAATAGGAAAAATTCGATCCCTTAAGACTCGTATGTATTCGCGTTAACACGATTTCTTTATTTCAATTATAAAGTTAATACTTTATAATACAAACTATTCGGTCCTGCTTTATTGACTGAGCTTATGCAAAAGTGTGTGTATATTTGACTTTTCTAAAATACTAGCTTTCCTACCATTTAATCGATAATAAATAAAATTTGAGAATTTTTTAATCGATTTTTGTAAAATATTAAATCCTGGGATCTTTAAAGAGTTAATTTAATTAGATTAACTTATGCGAAGGTTTTTTTTAGGGTGAATTTTAACTATCGTACAATAGTAACAATTACTAACCATCAAACGCTATTATTCCAAATATTTCAAGTTCTTGTATGTTCATTATGAAAAATACTACTATATTAACCTGATTTAGTTAGTAATATATGATAATCAACTGATAATCTTATAAATGCACGAACTCCTTCTATAGCATAACAATTATGTTACTATGGTAATCATACAGAGGTATAAATAATGACGAATGTCAAAATATGCAGGTACTGATAAACATAGCTAATAGATAATTGTAATATAAAGCTTAAGGTAGAAAAAAGTAATAAAAGCTGAAATATATTTAAAAAAGGAAAAAAAATAAAAAAGAAGGAGAAGTTGGGAAAGGAAATATACACAAAAAATATCATGCTAGTATGTATGTAGTCGTTATTGTTAATTTTTTTGTAATCCAAATGATAATATTATTATTAATGAAAACAACAGACGCCGGTAATATCAAGGAAAAATAACAATAGCAGAAGCATAGATTCTGTAATAAAATGTTATTACCGAACATGGATAACATTTTTCTATCAACAAAGGATTGAAAACTATTAATATAGATCGCAGCACTTGTGCTGTGTATTTATATGAAATTCGGAGAACTTTTCGCAGTTAAATATAATAATATATTTAATAGTAGGTGCATTTTGTTGAAAGTTAGAAAGTTAGAATACTTAACAATTATGGATCTTCTTCCGTAAGTAATTTTTTATATTATTTTACTTTTTGTTTTTAATAAAAAAAAGTACGAAAACAGTACGAGGTGCAAGTGTGCTCCATAACCTTAATTAGTTATTTACTATTTTGTTTAGAGAACACGATTCAACGTTTTGGAAAATTGGTAGATTAAAAACATTCGAAGATTGGCCATTTCAGTCGTCTGATAATTCGTGTAATCCTGAGCAAATGGCTGCTGCAGGCTTTTTTGTCGTAGATGGTAAAGAGGAACCAGACTTGGTTGAATGTTTTATTTGTTCCAAGCAACTAGATGGTTGGGATCCTGATGATGATCCATGGTACAAAGTGACATAAATTTTAAGCATTCTGTAATATCGTTTAATTCGTTTGCTAGTAATATTGAATATAATACATATACAATGCCAATTTCTTTCAGGAACGAACATATAAAACATCAGCCGCAGTGCCCGTTTGTGAGATTAGGGAAACTCAATGAGGCTTCGTGGACTGTGTACGAGTTATTTGATTTGTTCAAAAAATATATGGTAAAAGAATGCGTGAGTGCTGGATTTTGTAATATTTAATAATTATTTTATGTACAAATAGATTAAGAGTTTATCGAAATATGTATAAATTTTATAGACACAAGAATTGGACAAAGCTATAGCTATTGCGAAAGAAGAAAGTACGCAGCTAGTACATGAAATACCTAACATATACAAAGCATTAAGAAAGCACTAAAGGCTAAAGTTAAGTTAGGTTTGATAAAGTTGCCCAAAACTAATATTGTGCTTTGTTTATATGTTCATAACATTGTCTTTTCCTCTTTTTTCTTTCTTCTAGTTTTTATAAAATAAAATTTAATCTAGAAAAAAGTAATAACAAGATTTTCTTGACGAAACTATTTTCTTTTACATTCTTTTCTTCATTGTCTATTTTTTATTTGTATTTTTTTTCTCTGTCTCTTTTGTTCCCGCCTTTTCTCATTAACTTTTATAAATTAAAAAATATCGTAATATATCGTAATATACTTCAAGTATGTATTGAAATGATATTTCATTTGATAATGATCTAAAATTGTCAGATTCTCGGAAGTGAATTGAATCTATATTGCTTTAGGATAATTTACATTGTCTGTTTTCGTCGTTAGATTTTACCACGGTACGATCTTAATTTTATCATTTCGAAAGTAAAAGCGATTCATTATTGTTAATCTTATTAATGATAGTAAGAAAGAAAATGGCGTATGATTTCATACAATCAAATTTATCATTGCTTCACATAATTTGCGAACACTGCAGTTTTATCATAAACATAGAATCGATTACAAGTACATTACACGATATACATATATTTTGATAATATATACAATACTTTGATAAAGTTAAATTGAAAGTAAAGTCTTAATAAGAGAAAAATTTTGCAAAAAGTGTGTTTTTTAATAATTTAAAGGAAAATTTATACGTATTCCAACGGTAGAATGAAAGATGTTGGTATTTTGATACTTTTGAAATTATTCAAAGTATTGCCGGATATCACGTCCTTCTCTTTAAATTTGGATGATATACACGATCCAAAGCGATAACAAGGAAATGTTACGCATTGTAGTTTTTACGTTGCCCATTTACTGGTGTAACGGTTACATTCGTTATTTATCAGGCTGATTTCAACCTTCAGATTATTTGTACTATCGACCTCATCCATCCAGAGTCTGTTTCAACAAATTTTGATAAATGTTTCTGAATTTATCGATAAAATAGACTATATAGGAAAGTCATAAAGAAAAATATCTAATTTTCTGGTTGAACTAGGGAATAAAAGAGGTTTAATATTACATATATTCGGGTGGGCACTCGCGCGTGCATTCATACATACGTACGCGCGTACAGTGTTTATTAAGAGGTATATTTCTTTTTGTTTTTCTTTTCTTCGCTCTTGCCCTCTCTCACAAAATATCAGAAAAATGAGTACATAACACGTTGCGCGTTATCATTCCCCACCAAGATTCGACATGCCTTTTCCGCATCTACTTTTACTAACACGCTCAGCGTCTTATCCACGTTTCCTTTCCCTTTTTGCGTTTAGTAAGGAACACGTGTAAAAGTATAAAATGAATTCGCGTGGAGAACATCGATTCAGTCAATCGCAACATGTGGTTGGGATATGCACGTATTTGCTACTGTTTCTGTTCATAGATTCTCGTGATTTTTGTTAAACTTGTTCCTTTGACGGTCCGAGAATAGAGATGAAAATAAGAACGTGATCGTATTGTGTTTAACTTGATTTTTGAATCATTTGGCGAATTTTTTTCTCGGCTAATTTGTATCTTATAATTTTTATCGTGTAACTTTTATCGTGTTTCTCGTTTCAACAGCCAATCGTCAAAGAATATATATATTTTCGTTCATACAATGCTGCCTACCTGGAAAGCGTGTTGTAAGTACCAGCATCTTGCAAATGTGACGTTAAAATCTTGCTCTCTCTTTTTATTTTATTTATCGAACTACAATTATTGTTCAACTCTAGCAAAAGGATTTTTACTATCATATTATTATAAATATCAGTAAATGTCATTCAAATAGAATATCAGTGGAATGCTTGGTATTTGAATTATGCGCATAATTGGCGATGGTTGATTTTGTAACGTAAGAAAATACAAGAATATCGATTATTATATTTGATTTAATAATTAAAATGCAATGAAGATTGTGTAGAGGTAAAGGCTTCGGTGTTTTCGTTTCTTTTCTTCTTTTCTTTTTTTTTTTTTTTTTTTTTTTTTTTTTTTTTTTTTTTTTTTTTTTTTTCGTCATCTTTTTCATCCCATGATCGCTGCACAATAAATAACGACTACACGAAAAATAATATAACACCACATATCGCGGCATATTGGCAATACAGTACTGTATTTATGGAAATGCGCAACATTTACTGTTTTTGTAATTAAGTAATTATTTTTACAAAAGTGACAAGCAACGTTATTGTTTAAAGAAAATCATCTAAATCCCTAATCTGTATGATCGATGGTGTATAATAATATATTGTATTTTATTGCGTTTTACGGTTAACTCTTGTCTCGGGTAATCTGCCGTATATAGGTAAAACAATTGCATTTTTATCGAGAATTCCTTGAATATATTCATGTGTGTAACAAAATATTGTTTTGCTCTCGTAAGAGAAGCGAAAAAAACGTAATGTAACGTAAAATATAGAAGGAGAAAAAAAAAAGGAAAAAGCAAGAAAAGAAAAAATGAAAGAGTTTTCGTAGAAAAGGTTTCGTATAATATGAATGTGCAATAAAAGTATGAACGAGAGATAGTGTTCCGATTAAAGGGAGATTTTATATAATGTTGGAAGTTTTATATCGAACGAGGAGATTGTTGCCATAATGAGGAAAATAACTGACGTCGTAAGACAGGCTTATAGCAATTAAGATCATTTGTATCTACGAACAGAGCGAAATAAGAAGACAATCGCTTTTACGTTATATTTACGGCGAATCAACAATTGTGTCTGTTGATATGATCATCCCGTAAATTGCACCGGATTATTATTGATAGTTTTTGGCCTCTTTGTGTTTGGATTTATCGTCAGATAAGATAACTTGGTTAATGCTGCGTCTGGTGGTATTTAACTAAGGAACCAAATGAAAAATTTATGCGTTTGTTCGATTGCATCATTGATCGATCGACCGATGAATAGAAATAATTATATCTGTCATAAAAATTACCTTTCTATCTTTCAACGATTAAGTCAAAACACGGTGCCCTTTTCCTTCTAACTCACTAATATTTTCTTCCAACTTTCCAGTATCCGGAAATGAAAAATTTCAAATAAAAAATTATTTTTACGTTAACTTTCATTTGATTTCGCGTTTTCTATTTAGGAAAAATATTTCTGTTGCTTACTTTGTCCACGCAACCTCTACACGTTTTGGTATATAATACTTTTGTAGGCTAATTGAAAAAAAGTGCAATCAATTATAAAACATTTCCTTGTAACGTGTAACGTCTCCTTAGGTTATAATTATATAATTAAAAACAGATCACGAATTATCGTTGCGAGAATTATACATCGTATATGACCTTTTACTCGAAGGATATATTGGTTTTCGACTCCTCCCCCCCACACTGTCCCCCTCCCTCTCCCTCTCTCAGTCACTCACTCCCTTCTTCCCTCCTCCCTACTGCTCCTACCCTCTTTTCCTTGTCTTCTTTCCACTTCTTTCTCGGTTCAACGGTAACCGTTTACCTTTTCAATAAGCACAAGTAGAAATCGAAATTATGCTATACCGAAGTCAGTAATACGTGCAAGGAATCTGACCTTTACCTAGATAAGTTTGTACGGTTCGTTAGACAACTGGCCAATAGGGAAAGGCTGTGCTGCTAATCGTCATTCCTTCCGCGCTGTTAACCTCGGGCTTTCTTCTTTGCAATCGCGTGAGTTTATTTTTTATTGATGCTACTCTACCAATAAGAGATGTTTACTTGTACGCAGGTGGAAGAATACCGCAACGATGGATATTTGCGATAATGGGATTTTTGGCATTGTTTAATGCTTACGCGATGAGAGTCTGTCTGTCGATCACGATTACCGAGATGGTAATTCAAACGCCTGGAAGCGCAACACACAATGGTCATAATTGCTCGGTTATAGGGGAGACGACCTACGAAAATGTTGCCGTAACAAAGCCATCGAACGTGAAACAATATAACTGGGATGGAATCATGCAGGTAACCATATAAACGTATACATGATATCCAGAAATTCGACAATCACGATTACTGTATACACGAATGATATTTGCTTGTAACATTTTCCAATCAGGGTATAATCCTGTCGTCGTTTTACTGGGGCTATGTGATAACGCATTTACCTGGTGGGATGCTGTCTGAAAAATTCGGTGGAAAACATTCTCTTGGTTTGGGTATATTAGCGACCGCGGTTTTCACGTTAATTACACCGATCATTGTGGAATTTGGAGAAGCAACAGGTCTAATCGCCGTTCGTGTTTTAATGGGTCTTTGCGAAGGGACAACATTTCCGGCATTAAACGCAATGCTCGCACAATGGACGCCACCCGAGGAAAGATCCAAAATTGGTTCACTGGTATTCGCTGGTGCTCAACTTGGCACGGTATTTGCAAACTCTTTGTCCGGAATAATTCTTCATTATTCGTCGATAGGATGGCCAGCTGTGTTTTACGTGTTTGGTAGTATCGGAGTACTTTGGTTTTTGCTCTGGTTGGTAACGTGTTATAATAATCCAGATACGCATCCATTTATTTCCGAAAAAGAAAAGAGCTTTCTGCAGGAAAGGATGCACGCACATACGCATAAAAAGCCGCCTTCGGTACCATGGAGACACGTTCTTAAATCTGTACCAGTTTGGGCATTAATAGCAGCACAAGTTGGTCACGATTGGGGTTTTTTTACTTTAGTAAATGATCTTCCTAAATACATGAGCAACGTACTCAAATATTCCATCAAAGATAATGGGTTATTGTCCGCTTTACCCTATTTAACTATGTGGATTTGTAGTATAGTGACATCTTGCTTAGCCGATTGGATGATCACGAAAGGTTTAATGTCGCGAACTAATGTACGTAAACTAGGTACCACTATTGCCTCGCTCGGACCGGGAATATTTATTGTCGGTGCGTCTTACGCCGAATGTGACAGAACAACTGTTGTTATTCTGTTCACCATCGGTACAACGTTAATGGGTAAGTATACATATGTAGTATACGATATATTAGAAAATATCTTTTGTTCATGTTTCGTTTAATATGATCACATTTACGTTTTTATCCAGGAACGTTTTATCCAGGAATGAAAGTAAATGCTCTGGATCTTAGTCCAAACTATTCCGGTACCTTAATGGCTCTAGTAAATGGAATAGGCGCTTTTACCGGTATTTTGACACCGTACATCGTTGGTGTATTAACTCTGAATGAAAGTCTTACCGAATGGAGATTGGTATTTTGGATTGTTTTCAGTTTTTTTATTTTGACTAATTTGATTTTTGTACTGTATGCAAGTGGAGAAGTTCAATACTGGAATGATCCTGAATTTATTAGAACGGAAAGGGAAGAAAGGCGAACGAAAACTGCGGATGAAAAAGAGCAAAAAATCGAGAAATCTCTTCCTTAAAATCACTATTGCAAACTTCATATTTCCATTCCATAAATTTCTCCTCATTCTTTCTAATAATCAACGTGCGTTCTTCTTTCACAGTCCGAACAGAATATGCATAGGACATGCATGAATGTTTATACGAGTGATTCATTCAACTTAAAATGTAGAAGATGTATTTACGTTCTTCACTTTCATCACTATCTATTTTATCATACTCGTTAGATTTTCTATTGATCCAAAATATCCTGTCCGTTCATTAATTTATAAAATGTATTAGACTAGTACAAAAGTTCGTTCCATTTTCTAAATAAAAATTTTTATTACAGACTATACAGCATTCAAAGTATGATAAACAACGAATATAAAAAAAAGAAAGAAAAAGAACTATATTTTAAATATCGAACGAATTTTTGCACGGACCTAATACTGCTTCAAATTCTTTGGAAGCTGCTATTTTTTCCCATTTCTTCTTTCGTCTAGTCCAAGTTCGAAACGAATGATATGTCGAACAACTATATATATGTATACACACACACGCACGCAAATATCTATCGAACACACGTTGTCGAACGAGAATGAAAAACACATTCAGTTAATGTTACATCGACGTGTTCTCGCGACTAACGAGATTCAGTGTACCTGAAAAATATTTTTATATTTACGTGTGTTAAAGTAGGTGCATACAACGTTAAATGTTATTAAAATTGTTATTAAAACAAGTAAAAGAATAATGAAGATGATGCACCTGTGTAAAATCGCAAGTGTTTACATTTACACATGTATAGAATAGCATATGCATAATCTCTATCATAATATATAATTAGTACAACAAATGAAAAAATAAATTCATTTTTTCATTCATTCGGTTGGTACATAATTACAATCTGAAATAATTTGTCTAGTATAAATAATTATTAAACTTTGTATTCATAGGTATACTAAACTTGTATTATATCAATGGGTTCTTTTTCGTTTTTTCTATTTTTCTTCTTTTTTTTCTTTTTTTTAAATATGTTTTACTAGTATTGTATTATTTACAAGTATTTTCAATTTTCTGCATCGTTCGGCGATTTTTCTTTTTACAAATTTATTGATTAATATTCAGTGTTAGAATTTCAATACTTTGAATATTTTAAAAGGTACGTTTCTCAATCTCTTTACTATTTATATACCACGTTGCTAAAATAATGCATTTTAGTATTTAAACTTAGAACTCTAATTTGAAGATACGGTCCAAGCAAGCGGTATATCCAGCTTTTTCTTCTCCTGTTTTCTTCGATGACCCCGATGGTACCTTGTTCTATTCGGACTATAATCAATATTATCTCGAACTTTCCAAGAAGTCAGCGGCATCGTATAATTAACTGAGCATGGATTTCTGACCTGTAAAGATTCTGCTTGTTCGCAAATATTTGCGAATATGTAATCAACATGATAGTAGTCCGATAATGTTGGCTCATTACGGAAAGCTTGCATAGCACACCAAACATGTGAAAATAAACAAGGAAATCTAGACAGCCAATAATTGGTAAATTTGTCAGGAATATAACCGAGGCTTTCTTGAGCTTGCGGACTTAATTCTCTGTAGTGATGCTTCTACAAGAAAAACAGCTGATATCATTATAGAATATTCAAAGGACAGAATTGTAACACCTACTTAGTTTTGTATTCAAACCTTGTTCCGCAATGCTCTTAAAAGATCTCGAACACTTTCACCCCTATAACTTCTATATTTCCGGAGGTCGGTTGCAACCTCTTTGTCAATAAGTAATATCCAATCTCCTTGTACCACTCGGTTACTATTGGATTCTAAAGCAATTAAAGTTGGACTATCGATGTGCTCCTTTTCTACTCGATCGCTCACATCCTAGTACAAAAATCGCAAAAAGATGAATGTTAGTATAAGTGTTAAAACAACACAAGTACAAACAGAATGAATGAAAATAACGTACCTGAAAAAATCCAAGAATTCTAGCAGGATCCCAGAATATTGGGTGACCATAGACAGCCATTACCGGTGGTCGTTCTGATGGATTATTTGCGATCATTGCTTTTATGAGGATTAATGCCAACTGTTTGTCATTTTGGGAGATTCCATCATGAAGAGCCGTTAAATCACTTTCATCACCTATAATATATTAAAAATGCATTTATTATCAGAATATTGCACAAATATCAAATGATAATGAAAAATGAAACTTGTATTTATGTTCTGGTTAAACTGAGAAAAGAAAAAATAAATAAACTTTACACAAGTATACTATATCTTACAAAGAATATTAGCTTGTCGTCTTAATGGATCTCCAAATGGGTGTTTTCCATCCGAAAGAACGTAATAAAAAACACAACCCAGAGAAAAAATATCTACGGCACAAGTCGTTCTGTTTCCATTTAACATTTCTGGCGCAATCCACCCGTCAGTTCCTGTTACGCCTGATCTACGCGAGAAAGATACACGACCCAGTTGAAGTTTCTTGCACAAACCGAAGTCTGATATCATGGCTCTTACTTCGCCCCTTGGTCCAGGAGCTGACAATAATACATTGTGTGGTTTGATGTCTCTATGCACTGTTAAAATATTAAAACGTTTAAAAAAGAAACCTTGATATATATGTTTGTATCTATCAACAGAATTATTATTTTTGTACAGTGAGCGACAAAGTGATAGCACACTCTCCGATGTTTAATACTTTTCGTACGATACCGTTGACAAAAACTATTTAAAAAGATCCTTATTACTATTCTTCATACATATGTATGAATATTTTCATACATATCTTTCACAAAAATGTCGATATTTTTTATTCGTTTATTTGCAAATATGATAGATAATTTTTGCTAAATTCGGACTATCCTTTTTTTAACATAAATTTATAGAAAAAAGTGTAAGTTGCGGTTAATCTTCTATGTCATAAACGAAAGAATACTTTATGTGAGTATGCATATAAAATTTCTGCGCAAATTAACATTAGTTTTACAAAACACTAACAATCATAAGATGTGCTATCATTTTGTCGTGTACCGTAATCTTTATATCGTTCAAAAGTTACCAATGTCAAGATGATGTAGATGGGCTAATCCTGATGTAGCCTGTCGCAGAATATTTTTCACAGATATTTTTTGTTTATCATACTTTCCTACCACGTAATCTTGCAATGTAGCTTCAGCTAGTTCCAACGCAATATATCTGAACATTCTATCTTGCTCAGTGCAAAAATATCGTACAACATTTGCATGCGCATCTGATTCTCTCAGCAATGCTACTTCTCGGTCGGCAAATGTAAAGCAATCTGGTAATAAGCGCTTTACAGCTACGGAACGTCCATCGAAATTACCTCTAAAAATGTAAAATTTCAATGCTGTATATTTTGCACATGTTAATCAACGAACAAGAAAAACATATAATCTCCTCTTTATATTACCTATATACAAAAGTTCCCTCACATCCCTTGCCCAAAATTTGTCCAGTATCAAAAGTTATTTTTCCAACTTTTACTATCCCTTTACCCACATCTTCGGGAACTGCGAGCACGCCTGATCGCGTTCCATAATAATCACTAGCACTACTATTTTCTCGAGAACCCTGTAATAAAGAAATTTTCAATTATTTACAAACTTTTTGAAGACGTCAAGACATAAATTTACTAGATGCTAAATCTATCGAAAAATGTATCAGATTTAAAACAAAAATGAAATTTCTTATTATATCATTTCGCATTCTCTCTCTCGCAAATACCTGTGAGAGTTGTTGAAATTCCTTAAATTGTGCGTTTAAGTACCAAAACATCGTTAGAATGCAGCCTAATAAGCCGATTAACGTTAACTTTAATCCTTTATTTTCTTGCTGACTAAACCAATTCTTGCTTATTATATAAACATTCTGCATAAATTCTCTCCACGATTCATTATTTCCATTGCTGTCAGGTTTATCATCATCTCGTAAGTTGGAGATTGATTGTCTGGTCGAATTCAAATATCGTAGAGGTAGCGTTTCTATAACAGGATCAGACCGACCGGTAATTTGAAGCGGTTGCTGATCTTGCAATTTATATTCAGCTGGTATTTCGTAATGACCTGTTTTCCAATCAAATAGACAAAATTCGAGAATTAAATAATATTTACTATACTAATTTAATTAAAATTATATTGGTTTAATCAGTTTCTTCTTAATCATTGTTATTACCCAGTGTTATGATCTGATATCCAGGTTGAGCAATAAAATCAGTGTTATCAAAATATGCATTAGATAGAGAAATATTTCCGTTGTCGTTTTTTCCTAACTGTGGAACCGATAATGGACCTTCAAGTAGCAGTTGTCCAATATTACTCGATATTGGAGCGATTGTTGAATCTACGAGAGATGGTAGGGCATACAATCCGTATCTGTGCTGACCAATATATAATGTTGGACTGTAAAGAAGAAGAAGTGAAACAATATCATCATGAAACAATATCAAATATAAACGATAATTTAAATTAAATGATTTAAAAAAGATATCCTTTACTAACAATAACTGAATATCGCTTGGTTTGTTCGCGAAACGTTTTAAGAGGATATTCAGAGTTTCATCGGCAACACTAGTAAAAGGAACTGTTAACAAGGTATCTTCTCTTATAATGTACACAGCTATCACTGGGCTCTGTACATCTAACTCCCACAAAATAATACCTAGTCTTCTGTCCACAGTGACAATTCGTCCAGTCGAACTTGTAGCAAAGTGAACTAAATCTATATAGAAAAAACGCCATTAAGTTTTTTTTACATATGATATAATGATATAAAATAATAAAGAAACTACAAGTCAAACCATAATTTTCTATTCCTTCAGGTTCCATTTTTGTAGCAGAATAATCATAGAATGTAACATTCCATTTTCGATTCTTTTGCTTACTGTCCACCATAATGATATTATATTCTGTACGTCCCATGAAAATAGCATTTTGCAATTCTACGGGACAAGTATTTTTAACTTTGTCAAATCCTAAAAGTTGTTCTCTTTGACCAGTTCTAGGATCAATACCAAACCAAGTATCAATCTTTCTACCAGTATATAATATTCCATCGCTACTACGACAAGGACTATTTGCCACAAGTTGCGGAATAGTAAATGGCAATTTTTTTAAAGCTTCAGTTTCTGTTCCAAATACATACAAAGAGCCATCCTTTGGATCTGGTAAAAACATAGGCCTAAAAGAATCATAAAACTAAAAAAAAAAGATTTCCATGACACTTTGACAAATATAGTTGAATTATATTTACATGGAAGTCCTTTCAAAATCAACTGGTACTTTGACAATTGGTTCTGTAACAAATATTTAAGAGATTTTATATCAGTTTAGTAAAACATGTATCTTATGAATTATACATATTGACAGTACCATTATTTTGCCGCCAAAGCACATTTCCAGAACGTTGTTTTATACCAACTAAAGAACCATCCAGAGTGGAAAACATTAAAAGAGGATCATCTTGCTCTGGTATTAATTCTGTATCCCTCTTTTGTTTATACTGTAAGATGTTCATTTTACATTTACAAATGAAATATTCTTATTATTTATATTTGAAAAATTGAAGAAATCAGTATACTTCTCTCTCAGCTGACTTAAAATGATTTGATTGCCTTGATCCTTCAGTTTGCCCATAAACATATATAATAAACAATCCATTGATCAAAAAGATCAATATAGATTTAATTTGCATGATTTGCAAAGTTATTTATGTAACTAGTTTTATATATTAAACCAAAAATAAAGTCACAGGTGATTCAAAAAGAATACATTGTATCTACAAAATAGTCAGATATTCTAATTTCACATCTCTCTCTACAAACAAATGACGATTTTGTTCGTCATCTCGCCCAAACATCTTCATAGCTTTCAGGAATCACTACTAAATACCCTCCACCACAATGAATCCACACATAGAATGCATTATTAAAAAATAAAATTCCTTTTTATCCTTTCATATATAATTAAGATTATATACATAATGAATATCACGGTGTAAACTTGATAATGTTTACTCGAATAAACAATAGAGACCTGTTTTTATGATTCACATAGTTAGTCGTGTGTATATTGATATATGCAGTGTTTAATCATAAAGCAAAACGTCACATGGCATAGACTTCAAACAAAAATAATGAGTATTTCTTGCCATATGCGATTTGTATCTTATCAAACAGCCACAATAACGGAAAAATTGAATGACTTTATGATTTATCAATGGAGAATTTTAAACTAAAAATAGTAAGTAAACCTTAAAATACTTCACACGTATAGATATTTTAAAGATGTCGCGCATACATCTAAGCATAGATGCCGTCATGGACACGTGGCTCACGTACGTTCGTATGAAATAAAATACATCGCAGTGTCAATAGTTATGCATAAATAAAATATAATTTATAATTGACTCTTTGCCATTTCAATATTTGCATTACTTACAGTCATAAAACAAACTTAACTTTACTTATCAATATGGAAGTTCATATTTGAATTCATCGTAATGAATTAAACGTATCTCGAAATAAATTACTGCATATAAATACAGAAAAGCACATAGCTTATGTACATGAAGATTAGATATAAAACGATGGATAGTAAATAAGAGAGATAAATTCAATTGAAAAAAATTTAACTAAATTTAATTAATTTCAAACAAGTTGTGAAGTTTAAGGCAGCATATACAATGCAAATTAAACTTTTGCGATATTGTTATTAAGCGTTGTCGTCAGTGCGTAAGTGTAATACGTGCATATGTGCATATGTATATATATTAATATAAATGCATAAAGCAAATAAGAAGGTTGTGTGTCAAGAATAAATGCGTAAATGTTTCTTTTGTGCGTTTTGAACAATAATGATTAATACAATAATGTTAGTGCGAAATTATTATATGATCTAGTCGTTAAAAATATCAGCGCGGTCAAAAATCATTATAATGTACGTTAAATATTTACAAATCGTTTGATTATCGAGAGAAAAAATTTATTTCAATCATGAGTGCTAAACACAGTCCGAGAAAAATAACATTATCCATGATAAAAGGTGAGATAAATTTAGCTAAATAAGTAGATTTGATAAATATGTTTATTTTCACAACATTAATATAGTCCATTTCGTGATGTGACAAATGGTATTTAATTGGTTCTCTATTTCTTCTGTGGCAAGGTAAACCTATTACAACTTCGGTTCCTGTAATTCATTACCATGCTAATGATGATGAATTGGAAGAAATGTATCCGAGCACGGATGAAGAAAAGCTGTCAACACCCGAATGTGAGAAAAACCCATCCAAAGCAACTTTTACCACATCAAAATGCATCCATGAATCGAATATTACCGAAAATATTTCGGATATCAAGTCCATTAGTACGGAGAATGTTTTATTAGAAGGTACACCACCGTCACTGGATCCATGGAAAGTATTATCTGAAATTAAAGGAAAAATAACTAAAACGTTTGAGGGAAAATTATCTGAAATAATAAGTGACAAGAAAAAACGATATCCTAAGGTAGAAAGTTTGAGTACCAGTGATTTAGAAAATCAGGGATGTACTATACCTTGTGATGAAAAGGTAGATGATATTCGTCAAAGAGGCAATCCTGTTAGATATGTAGGATTCTCTGGAATAAAAACTGGTTTAAAAGATAAAAGTTTACAAGATGAATGCGTAGAAAAAGGCATTGAAGCTTCTGAATTTCCTCAAATTGTTAGTGAAGATATTCCTTGTTCTTTAAAGGACGATTCGTCAAATTTAAAGACAGCTAATAACAGTAGTTATACGATGTTTTCTCAACAGGCTTATGCACACCCAGTAGCATGTACGAAGGAAATAAATTTTAAAACTGTGTTTTCACAATTGATAAAAGAATTGATTTACCAAACAACATATAAATCTGTTGCTGCTCTCATTACCATTTCATGCATTTATTACATGATTCCATTAGCAGATTGTTTACAGGGATTTATGATAGGTATCTTTGTGACTGTTACTTTTTATGATATAGTAACAAAACTTAAAACAATTTTAACCACTTTGCCAGATGAAAGATTCCCTTCCAGCTTATCGATACCAATTTTAGAGATTCCAGCTGTAGAGGAGTACGTTGCAGTAGAAAGATATCAAGGTTGGTTAAATGAACTGCCCTATACTTATGAACCTACTAATTACCATGTGGCACGCACAAAGTCAGTTTTCTTTAGATTGGAGGGAACTATTTTGTGTATTATGGAAACGAGAATGAAGATACCAAAGAAAGCGGTTTGGGATGAACCTAGACAAAAATTAAAGTTTATTAAAAGAAGAGTTTATAATTTAACTGGGGCAAAGATAGAACTTCTTCCTTATGGACTTGCTAGAAGGAGAAGGTGGAGTAAAAAATATCCAATTTGTATAGTCCTTGATGAAAAAGCTTTAATTCGTAATGTAATTCTGAAGGGTACAACTCCAAGAGAAAGAGTTAAGTGTAAATCCAGCAAGAAATATGTAAGAAAATGGAATAAAGAAAAACAAAACGAGAATAAATTGTTTATTAATACAGAGAATGAAGAATTGATTGCAAGACAGAAGGCCTATGAGCTTGAAGAAGTGGAAGATACAGATAAAAATGACAATGACAATAAAAATTATAATTACGATCCGACTAACGATTACATGGACAACGAATGTGTGATGTACAAGGAATGTTTTGTAGAAAATGAAGAAATAGAAGAGTGTATGGAAGGGAAAGAAAAGAGGAAGGAAGGAAACAGCTATATAGGGCAACAAAAAGAAAATGATAGAGTAAGACGAGACGTAAGAAAAGATTCTGTTTGTATTAACGAAGAAAGAAAGAAACGAAGGGACGTAGTAAGCAACATGAAAATTTGTAAGAAATCGATGGTCAAAAATTGGAGTAAAAAGAAAAGATTACAAGAAGAGAAAAAAGAGGAGGAAGAGGAAGGGGAAAAAGAAGAGGAAGAGGAAGAAGAAGAGGAGAAAGAAGGTGAAGAAAAAAGAGAGGAAGAAGGAGAAGTGGGAGGGAATGAAGAAGAAGAAAAAGAGAAGTTAGCAACTAAGGTAAATTTGCATGGAAAAAAGAATAATGAAGAGAAGGATGAGAGGGAACAAGAGAAGGTTAAGAATGGAGGGAAGAAAGCAAAAATGAGTGAATCAGAAAAAGGCGAAGGGAAAGAAGAAGAAGGAGATGAAGAATATGAAGGAGGGGAAAGAGAAGGAGAAAGAGAAGAAGACGAAGTGGAAGAGGAAGGAGGAGGAGAAGAAGAAGAAGAAGAGGAAGAGGAGGAAGAAGAAGAAGAAGAAGAAGAAGAAGGAGAAGATGATGATGATGATGATGATGATGATGATGATGATGATGATGATGATGATGATGATGATGATGATGATGATGATGATGATGAAGAAGAAGAAGAAGACGATGATGAAGAAGAAGAAGAGGATGAAGTGGAAGGAGAGTTAGTACAGGTGATATTTCGGAATGATGATGAGAACAAGAAAAATTACAGTATCGAATTACAGAAAGAAAAAAAGAAAAAAGGAAGTAAAGTGAAAAAAGGGAAAGAAGAGGAGGAAAGGGATGAGTCACAATTACTGGAGCAAGGGAATGAAAAGGGAAAAACAGATGAAGTATCCCAGTTTAAAAATGCTTTTAAAAAGTACCTCAATAACGTCAAGGGGAAAAACGAATTAAAAATATATATCTTTGCCAGAACTGATCGCGAAAAAGAAGATTGGTACAGGCGTTTAGTTTCAGCTTCATCTCGGTTCGTTAAGAAGCAAGATTCATTATCATCTGTAATTAATGTTTCATCTAGTACATCTAATACACAGTCTAAAATTGTAACTGCAGAATCAAAAAGCTGTTTTTCAGCCAGTAATTCACACGAAACTGTACCAGAACTTAATTATAACGCTTATATGGCAAAGTACTTGGACAGTAGTTGTTCGCCTGTGTTAGAAAATTCATTTTCTACTTCTGCTGAAAGCACATGTTGGATCAATTGTTTAATTGCTCGTATACTCTTCGATGTACATAAGTGTCCGGAAACTATACATCTTATACAAGATAAAATACAACGCAAGTTATCGAATATAAAATTACCATATTTTATGGAATGTCTTTTAGTTTCAGAGGTAATAATAGGACAAGGAGCTCCTATAATTCACAACGTAACAAAACCAGTAATTAATGAAAGAGGTCTCTGGCTGAATTTCGATATAACGTACAAAGGATGCTTAACTATGACCGTCGAAACAAAATTGAATTTGATGAAATTAACAAGAACCGGTTCTGTTTCTGACGATACGCGCCTAATTATTTCAACAGAAAAACAACATGAATCATTAATCAGATCGGCAATTTTTGATAGCGATGTGGAAGATACGCCGGAAACGTCAACAGAAGACGATTATGATACTTCTAAAACGCAGTCACACAATGCAGCCAAAGAAACAACGTAAGCAACAATAGCAATGTCATTTCGTTGTTTGTTTCTTCTTACGCTGTTTCATTAATTCATTTAATGTTTCCTCCGCCCCCGTCTCCTTTTTTCATATCTGCAGTTCTTCGCAATTCGCTGGAAAAAAGTTTCTTAATATGGTAGATAGAATAACCGCGAATAAATACTTCCAACATGTAAGTATATCTTGTTATATTTTTTTTTATGCTGAATAATATACAGATCAATCTGCATTGATATTTACTGTTTCGTGTTCTTTAATTATTAGGCAACGGAACTGTCCTGTGTTCGGAGGGCTATGGAAGGTGTCTCAAATACAGAGATTCGGTTGATGGTTACTGTCTCAAGTATTGAAGGTTGTTTATCGGTAAACATTCCACCGGCACCGTCCGATCGTTTGTGGTATGGTTTTAAACCAGTACCAAAAGTGAACCTCACTGTAAAACCTGCGGTGGGTGAAAGAACCGTCAATATCGTTTACATAACAAAATGGATAGAAGCTAAATTACTCAGGGAATTTGAAAAATTAGTTGTCTTACCAAATATGGATGATTTCATATTACCGCTGTGTCCTAATTACCCTTATATGACGATACGGTAGTCTCATCAGAAATGAAAGGTATCGATTTGTCTTATTGTATTGTATGTACATAATACATCAATATATAAAGTACCACGTATAGCTGTTTTTAAATTCGCAATCGCAATATGGATTTAATTAGTAAATGGCAGGTATATTAATGTTACAAAGTTTTATCCGAGCTATGTTTCAAGTATGTACATTCTGCGATAGTACCGGGATCATAATCCTTTCGTATGTGCATTCTAGCTTTTAAATAAATTTCATGACAAGAAGTCAAAGTGAAAAATTGAGAAAAGTCTTAGAAATGATCGTAATTTTGAAAGTAGTGAATGCAGATTAAGAACAAATCCAACGCAAATGGAAGATTAAGAACAAATTAATAATATTTAATGTTGAACCAGATACATTTTAATATACGGTGATCAATTTTTGTTTTTTAAACAAAAAAGTCGCATATATCGATTCGTAATTTTTAAATTTCACCAAACTTTTCAGTGTCTCGACTTTTGATCATTTTCTTGGGACCATGCGTCGTGTTATTCCTTCGTTATGATAACGTACAAAAACTTATATTGCGCACAACAAAGAAAGGTTCATTGCATAAAGGAAAATCCAGGAATTGACATGTTTTCATTCACCTATTTGTAATGATAATATTGTAATAATAATAATAATAATAATATAATATCAATAAAGTGAATGAATCTGAATAACAGTAAAGTCATTTGTTTATTACTTATATGTATTACTATAATGTAGAAAATTGCAAATTAATCATTTCATAATCAAAGATAAGTAATACCAAACGATTTGAACGCGTATATTTGTCCATTTCAAAAGTAGCATAATAATTGTAAATTGTTTTTATATTATGAGCATATTTTGTGTGCAAACATATCACAATGTGTGATATATACGTGAACTTACATATAATGAAATTCTAATGTTGCATGCAATTATAAGTTCATTTTATATATAAAATACACACGTACGCGCGCACATATGCACATATATGTATGCATATGTACATATAAAGCAAATGTGAAAAATCGTTGAAAATCGTTGAAAATTATAATCGTTGAAATTTCCAAATTGCTTAATTTCATTGCAATTGATTATAATAAAATCTGAAATATACATTAAACATTGAATTTTTGATATTTGATATGCTCATTTAAGATCCATTTAAAACTCACTTAAAACTAGAAATATGAAATCATAACAAGAATACATCGAAATTGTTAATTGTATTATTAAAAAATTGTGTATTTGATAAAATTTCCACAAAATAATATCACAGTTTAGAGATCGATATTCATACTGCACAGAATAGGAAAATAAATTATTTACAGGCATTCCGTTCAAAATTGGATATGCTAACTTCGAAGAACACATGGTGCAGTTTCCAATTCGCGAACAGTCTTCGCCCATGTTTCTATCCTCGGTGCACAAACCAAAACAAGATCACCGAGTCTTCGTTTAGCCATTATCACAAATTCCCCCTGGCCATGGCGTGCATCACATGCAGTTGGTACTCTTACGCGAACATTTCTGCGATCATGGGAATCAATACTATCCGCATCGTTGTTATTCTGTTTTAAAATGAACGATATTAGTACACGAATATAAGAATTATATTCTAGTTTTGTGTGATTTGACTTATATGTATGTGTATTAGCAAAGATAAATTATAAGAGAAAATTACAATGGAAATTATTTTAGATATTTATAGTAGTCTCCAGTTTGCCATATAACAGAATCTTAAAGCGATATACATCGCTAGATTTGTTTCAGCAGAAATTATATAAACTATTGCTGAGCCGAGTATCATGTAATACTATAATATTATCTTAGTTCTGTGGATTGCTTGTGCTTAAACGTTCGAATATGCATATATAGTATGCATGTGATTTTTATGCCGGACTATTTACATCCTTGCTATATTGTGGAGGCTACTATTGTTATTGGCTATTAGAGTAATAATATACAATTATTATAGGGTATGATTCAATTTATAATTGGATGGGTAGCAAAAAGGGAAAAAGCGGAGAAGGGTAGAGCGTTACCTCGTTCTCTTCTATTCGACGCAAAATTTTTGTTATTCCAAGAACAAGTTCGGCAGCTTCCAAATTTGGTTGCCTTTGAACGGCACTCACCGTACCTCTGGCTATAAAGTCGCTTTGACAATAAGCTTTGGCCAGTTCATCCATAGAACATGGTCTACAATCTTCTTCTTCTTCGTCGTTAAATCGTCGTGATATTCCTTGTCGTCCATCAACATATCGCAATTCTAAATCGTATTGTAATCGTACATCGTGACATTCTCCTGACACAAATTCTTCCGCTTCTATGTAAAGTGCTGCAGGTTGTTTCTTCGCGTGAAAACATCTATGCGATGCTTTATGTTTACCATCCCTCGGTGAGTATACCGGTCGAAGTTTTCCACGAGTTTCAAGATATACTCTTACCGGTCCAGAAACTTTAGTACAAGTGCGGAAAGTAGATGATCGAAAGTCAATATTATTGCTATTCGAGTCGTTATTGTTTTTCTTATTAACGTTGCCCTTTCCTCCAATGAATTCATAATGAACCTTGGAAACGAAACCAGTCAAAGCAGGGGGAGAGAGAACTACGCGCAAAGCCCCGCGTGGATAACGCCATAGTACTGTTCCCCTGGAGCATCGCAGATACACCGGTCGAACACCTCGGCCACCACCGCCACTATAACGTGACAAGACAGAGAAAGAAAGAGAACGAGATATTACTTATGGCCTGATTAAATGCATATTATATATTCAACTTCTTGATCACACGATACGACATTGTCACATATGTAATTCCATTACATGCTGAAATACGAAGATTCTCGGTCAACTTGACAACATCTTTGTTCATTCTCCTTATCATTTATAAGTTGCGAGTAGAAACGAGTAGAAAAGTAAAAACGGTTTTTTTGTTTGTCATTACGATATTACTTATTATCATTAACTACAGTTAACCATGTTATACTTACTACAGATTTCCTTTCCAGTTCATTACATACATACATGCATACATACATGCATCCATCCACCCATCCATCCACCCATCCATCCATCCATCCATCCATTCATTCATCCATCCATCCATCCATCCATCTATACATGCACATACACACACACGCGCACGCACGCAGCATGCATACATACATACGTGCATACGTACATGCATACATACATGCATGCATGCATATATGCAAGCACGCTGTTTTACTTTATAAGAGGGA